GATCAGACCTGAAAGAAATATTAAAATATATCTATTACATATTCAGTACAAGTCAGCTGGTGACTTTTCCTTTAATGTACATGTACGTTTGTGCTTCTCAGATATGTATTCATCATTGGAATGTATAAATAGTGCTAGAATGATACATGGGAATAATTGCGTATGGCTGAAACAAAAGTTTAAAATGTTGATATGGTTCTTTCATGTTCTTCCTAATTTGTGCTCCCAGATTTAAATCACTGCCTAAATAGAATCTTAAGGAAATAGCTCCTAGATTCCCTACCCCTGCTGGCCTTCTGCACAAGCCTACATTTTCAATCTTCACTAATCTTAATTATTCTTAGATACCCAACTGTGTTACTAAGAATACTTGTCAGAACTATTTAAAATTTCTACTTGTTAAAATTAGAGAATGTTGCAAACAACATTGAATTCAAGAATAGAGTAACTTTGTGCACATTCAGACTTTATTTTCAATATCAAAACTGAACTGAGGTCACTATCACTTTTACCTAAGGACCATTATTGGCTACTCATTTTTTCATTTCTGCCACTTAATTGAGGTAAAAAAAATGCAGTGTTCTTATCATAAAGCCCTTAGCACTTTAGAAGCCCTTTTTTGCTGATTAGTTTTACGCTAAGATACCAGATATCCATGAGCATAGGGGTGTCACACTTGATTTCTTCGAGGTCTGGATCAGCATTGTACTTCTCTGCGGGCCAGCCATGGGGGGAAGGACATGAGAAGGACACCTCCTGCAGCAGTCTGCTGGCCAAAACAGGGCGCAGGGGGCTGCATGCAGCTCCCCGTGTCACATTTTGGCCAGCAGAGTGCTGTAGGAGGTCATCCAGGCCCAAAGGGGCACCGGGAGTCAGTCTTTGCTATTCCCAGGCTGGCCCCACAGGCCAAATTTAAGCCTACATGCTGGATCTGGCTCCAGTTTAACACCCCTGCACTAGCAGTTACTTGGGGTCAACTTTCAGAGCAGTTCTTGGATCCTGTGTATCCAGATTGCATCTTAGCCCAAATTGATTAAAGGTTTTTGAGCTGTGTGATCCATAGGTTTGGACTCTTTTTTAAAGTGACTCCTGAAGTCCCAAAGTCATTCTCAGCTTCAAAGCAGTCCAAATTCTGTCCTTAAATCCTCTAGGATTCGCTAGGATCTGCATGCAAAATTGTTCGACTGGGGTATCTCAAGGGTTACTACAAAGTGGGAAGCCAGAGCATTCCTATACAGAGTTAAATGGGAATGGATATTTCCTCATTTTGATATCCCAGATTTTTTGGCTCATGCCTGAAAGTCAGATAAGGCTATGTTATCATATAAAGGGGAAAAGATATTTGTACATAGAACTAAGGTGGAGACTTGGACAGGACTATCAATGGACCATGGTTAAAAAAATCAAAGAGTTGATCACAATGATGTGATTGTAATTGTTTTTGTGTACACCATGATGCAAGTTAAAAAAAAAAAGATGGACTACAATCCCTATTACGGCCAATTCTTGACATTTTAAAGCAAATCTTCTGGAGCCCCCACAAGATATGGTTAAAAATAGGATAGGATAAATAGATCCTATGGAGAGATTACTTGAGTTCTAAGTGAATAACCAATTTAAGTAAATAATTCTTTGCATAAAAACCTAGTTGGTCTATGTATCATATGTCCAAATATTTCAAGTGATTATATCAGGCACAGAATTTAAATGTTTAAAGTTTCAACTTCCTTTTAAGCAAATGTTAGTTTGGTTTACCTACCATGCCAAGTCAAGGCTCAATTGTAATTTACTGAATAAAACATGATTGGCTGGGATGAAAGACTACATTAACTATTAACCACGATTGCAAATCATAATGCAAGACGCTAAGCCAAAACAAATCAAACCATATGGAGGCTTAAGCTCAGGATGTGAACTCTACTAATGTTAATGTGTACCTGGGAAGGCTAGTGATGAATCTCCAACTATATTTTGAATGGAGGTGGGGATGGTGCTGAAAAGCACTGAATGCTTATCTCATTTAAACTGATAGCAGGACCTTGATTGTATTATACAGAGTTCTGTGCTTCCTTCAGGCAGAAACTCATATAGGCTAAAGAGGTGGTGTGCTGAGCAACAGGTGTTTTTCTCCCCTCTCCCACAAATGAACAATTGATTTTGCCGCCAAAGCTGGCTATTTGGCAGCTTTGCTCCTTGGAATTGAATGGGAGCATCTCCCCCAGAAAAAGAAATTCATACATGCTTAGATGCAATTCTTGCCAAAGTATCTAAAAAGGCCAAGATCTCTCTCCCTGTCATACTACCAGACAGGAAAAAAAGAGGAAAGACAGAATGAATGGAATACCAAGAGCTTTCTGTATAGAGCTTCAAGCCAGAACTGTGGACATCTTTGACATAGTTAAGGCTCCCTCCTTGTTGAGTGGTATTGCAGCAGAAGAGCACGTTGGAGCCTGCCCAGCAATAAGCTACACATACCTCCTTGAAGCAGGGGCTGGTTCCCCTGCCTTAAGTGCCTGAAGCTTTGCATCACAGCCCCCACTCTTTCCCATGGGAGGGAGCAAGGTCATGAGCGTTGGGCATTGTGGGAAAAATGCTTATGCAAATAGCCTAAGGGTCGGCTTAACATTGTTTGCTTAGCCACTAGACACCACTCCTCTTTCACAAAACCCAAGAGTCCAAGTTTCACCCGTTTGTAAGTCAGAGAAACCTGCATATGTTCTAAGACAAACTCTTTTTTCTTATACGGTATTACATTCTTTTTATTTTGCTCTCCTTTTCTCTCCCTGCCATTCACATGGGATAAGGGAACTTGTTTCTCTGGACCCACATGCTCATTTGGTCCCATCCTATTTCTCCCCCTTCAGCATTAGCCATGATGCATATTTCATGGGTTTAGTTTAGCCTAGGCTAGTGTGGGTGGGGGGGGGGAGAAAGGGAGGGGAGATAGACCCAGTGTCAGTTTCAAAGGCAGGAGGGATTAGCTACCCTCCAAACCCATCCGCCCCCTGTGGTAGTTCTCTCCAGATGTTGCTACATCTGGATCCCATTCCTATGGCTCCCGTCAGCAGCTGTAGAATTTGCAGGCATCACCAGCTGCCCTTGGGATGGGGTACAGCAGTAGGTAAAAAAGATGCTTAATCGGTTCCCTTTTCCAGTGGCCAAGGGCAGGTGCCGCAGGAGGGGATACTTTAGGACATAGTCTCTACCTTCATGGCTTGTTCAGCTTCTTGATTTGTGATTTCAAGAGAAGAATATTCTTAACCTGTGGCACAAGAAAGATTTTTCAAAAAATCTATAGTCTCTGCAGCTTCTTTCTTCTGACTAGTGCTCTCCCAGTTTCGTTCATCTTTAATGTCCTGTTGACTAGTTATATTGAGAGCTAAGTGGTACCAATTGGGGGATTAAGGGTAAATCCCCTGGATGCTATTCCATACTGGAGGAGGGGGAGAACCTTTGAAAGTTTGAGTTTAACACCTAGTATCCTTGCCAACATACTGAAAGCCTCTTTTGGCTGGGGGGGTGGGGTGGGTGAGAGCATGACACAGGAATTGTAATCTAACAGGAATATTTGGAGGCTGGCAGTTTAGTTATAAAAAATAATTGGGTAGTGTTATGGAGTCTCCAAGAGCTAATTTGATGTAATGGTTAAGACATCAGACTAGAAACTGGGAGAGCATGAATTCTAGTTCTGTCTTAGGCACAAAGGCAACTGCGTATCTTTGGACTAGTCACTTTCTCTTGCTCCTAGAAAGGAAGCAATGGCAAACTATTTCCAAAAAACTTAACAAGAAAACTTCAGGGACTTGTCCAGGCAGTTAGCAAGAGTCAACACTTACTCAAAGGCACATACAGAAAGTCAGTGGGGAATATTTTTTAAGGAGTTGTATGAATGTCTAGTCAGTGCCAGGAATCCAACTTGTAAAAGGCAGTTTCGTTAAATATTTGCAACATATTTCTCAGCACCTTTTGAACATTTCCATTTGTCTTGGCCCATTGTCTCAGATGTGATTGTGGAATGTATCGTTTCTGAAAAACTTATATTTCTGTTCCCTTTGGCTTTTCCTGATGCAGCAATTGCAACTTTCATGCTTTGGGTTGAAAGACAGTGGTTTTATAAAAGATGATAGTTGGAAAAGATAACATTAATTCAGGGTTTCAGTGGAAACAAATATAGCCAGGTTTAACCTGGATCTAAATTGTGGTCATTTAAGTCTGGGACATGGTTTTATATGAGCAATTTTAAAATAGCATATTCTATTTAGGAGCTCTCATACCAATAGCACTCAATGTAAAATAATGTAATTTACATTAATTTTCAAATGTATTCAAAATATAGGACCAGCCTCAATCTGACCAACCTTCTGAGATATATGTCAGCTAGATTTTATAAGTATATAGATTTTCTAGCCTGCTACATTTTGTAGAATATTATAAACCTTTTGAATTTTTGCAGTCTAAGCAACTTTTACAAGTTGATGTACTCTAGCTGTTGGTGTGTATATCTCTCTCCTCTACGCTGCCGCCCCCAAATCCAATTTGGAAATACGAATTTTAATCCAACATCTAGATGACAAATGATTACAGGAGACTTTGCTGGAACAAAGTCAGGATGGTAGTTTAACGTTCTCTTCATTGAGAGGGTGTTGTTTCCCTCTTTTGCCAGATCCTATGAGTGACATCAAATTCTCAGCAAAATCCATATTCTTCCACATCTTCCTATTGCCATCCCTTCTCAACAGTGAGGCAATTTTTTTACCTCTGGGTGAGGGACCATTCTCTTTGCTATCTCAGCAGAAGCAAGGATACAGCATGAGATTTGATGGGACCTGAGAAGTCCCGTCTTTCAGACACATGAACAGCAAAGAATCACAAGTGCCTGTGAGAGACACGACAACAAAAAGACTGCCATTACAACACAGGCTGGCTTGCATCACCAAATATCCAAGCAAGACCCCACTCGGGGGGGTCATGAATAAAGCCCAGAATCTGCTTGACTGTGGCCGAAGGAAGGCTTGAAACCACAGGTAATCCTCCCACCCACTTTTGTCTATGTACTTTTATTGCACTTTTGTCTATGTGTTTGTTATTCCTAAACCAAGCTGGATTCCTTTCCTTTTGGAAGAAAAAATATGTAGTATTTATGAGAATTGCACACACATTAAAAATGATGTACATTTTTATCATGCAGAATGGCTTCAGATTCCACATGAGCACAATGCCTCTTCTGAAAGCATGCATGAGTTTTTTTAACCTTCTGAACTTAAAAAGTTTAATGAACCAAATTGTTCAAGGGTGCATCTTTAAGTCTTAAAGTTCCTTTAATGAATAGCAAAGAGATGTACTCATATGAGATCTGAAGATTTCTGAATCATTTCTGAAGTATGCAGTGCCTTAGTGTTTTTTATAATTATCCTAATGAAAAAAGAATTTCTGGGAGATGAAAAACTACTAATGGGCTTTTTTATGGGAATGATAAGAAATATAGTTTACTGGTATCTGGCATAGATTGAGATTTATACAAGTAAGACTGGCTTTAATCTAGCATTTAATACTTTAATTCAGTATTTAATACTTCTAGCACTTCATACCTGATTACTAACAACTATGAATTGGAGATACTGAGCTGTGTTTAGCTCAATATTAGCTAACTAATCTCATAATTATTTTGCTGATAACATCAGATTTTTTTTATAAACTAAGTCCAGTCTGGACAGCCTTACTGTGAATCTCCAATCTGAACACCAAGAGGCTGGAAAACATGATACACTGGAAGTCCTATTGTTCTCAGGGATTTTATATAAGAAAAGCAAATATGCCAACTGAAATGCCTCTGAATGAACTACCTGAGCTTATTTTTGCTTCAGCGAGATGCTTAATGGAATATCTGAGACACTGCATTCTGGGAAGAATTAAGATGGATGCTGCAATTGTATCACATGAGATCCTCTTAGATAAGGGTTTTCTTAATCTTAGAATGGAATTGGCCCAGCTAGAAAAGTGGAGGATGATGGAAAAGGAGAAGAAAGGGGATGAGAGGTGATAGCTGATGATCAATATCAATTTATTGTTGCTTTCTTTTTTCTGCATAGGTCCCCGCTGTGCAGAGTGATGCTTATTCTGTTCCATGCCATGGTCACCCCATTGCTCTGTGTCATCCAGGCTGCCCCCCTTCCCAACTCCTATATCCTCTTTAACACCACTGATACTCTCTGGGCTGAGACTCCCCTGAGGGATTGGGACCTCTTCTCTCCACGTGTCACTCTGTCTAACCAAGCTCCCGAAGAGCCCCCCTTGCTTTTCCTCATGGAGGACTCCAATACCCATCCTGGACAAGCTGCTAATAGAACATTCAAATCCAAACGGTCATTGGAAGGGTCCCTGCGCCGGGGAGAAATGTCTGTATGTGACAGTGTTAATGTGTGGGTGACAGACAAACGGACAGCTGTGGACATCCGTGGCAAAACGGTGACAGTGCTGTCTGAGGTCCAGACGCTTACAGGCCCCCTCAGGCAATATTTCTTTGAGACCAAGTGTAATCCAGCTGGCGGAACTGTGGGTGGTTGTCGGGGTGTGGATCGACGCCATTGGATCTCTGAGTGCAAGGCTAAACAGTCTTACGTGAGGGCTCTGACTATGGATTCTGACAAGATTGTTGGTTGGCGCTGGATCCGGATTGACACTTCCTGTGTCTGCACCCTACTCACACGCACTGGTCGGACGTAGGAAAAAAGGGCATAGACCATGAACTCATTTTGGCCAATCAAAGCATGGCCAGCTCTCTTAATATATTCAGTCATGGATTGGAATAATTTCTAAATTTAACTCAGCTTTCGTTGGCCAAAGTATGTGTGTGTTGTATGTGTGTGTATGTGTGTGTTTGCATGTACATGTGCCTGTGTGATTAACAACTTCTGGGCTTCACTGCTGATTCCATTTGTGCTGCAGCAAAACCAAGGGAGAGGTATGCCATTATGACCTTAAGCTCTGGGTATTTGCTGCCCAAGTGGAAGAACCCTGGTTTCTCTTGTTGAAAGGGCTGGAAGGGGAACTTTAAAGCCCTACTTGGGGAAAGTTAGGTATTGTTATGGCTGGAGGACTGCATTATTCATGCAAATTGGTGGATAGTTCAAAAGAAATTAGTGGGTCTTTTGCAATCAAAAGGATCTCAGTGATTGTGATCCAGGCATAAGTATCAATGTCCTTTTCTACAATCCTCAGGAACCTTGCAAATCACAAGGGCCACCCCTCCCCCCCATGTTTTTCCTTCTGTGCACTCTCAGGATTTTTCAAAATGTCTACCCTCGGGGAACATTTCCCATTTCCACACATCTGCCAAGGATTCCCTGCAAATGATTAAAAAGTTTTTTTAGGGCATGTTTGAAAGTGCATTGTCTGTACATGTGTGGCCAGCAGCCACACCTGCTGAGCCTCACCTCCATTCTGTGCACACAGCCTAGAACTTTAGAGAATGCATTGGAAGGGAAATTAAGACGTTGTGGGAGGTTCATCCACCTTTACCAAGCTATGTCTTGAAAAAACATTTGATTCACTACTGAAGGCCTTTGGAATAGTTTTGAAAAGCAGTCTCTCAGGCAGAAAATGTTTACTTCCGGAATTCATTCTTTTTCCAGTTTACCCCTCTCTTTCTATTTATTACCGCATCTCCATCTCTTTGTCTGTGATGCAATCCTGTCATTTTATTAACTTATTTGTGTGCATTTATTCTGTGGGAAAATAATTTCTAGGGGAATGTGTGTATGTGTGTGTGTGTGTGTGAGAGAGAGAGAGTATGTGTTGGGGGGATTAAAAGTAAAGTTCTCAACTTCCTCTCCATTGTCATGAATATTTACTTTTGAGGGCTGGGGAATGGAGGCAGAGGAAGCCAGTACAAGCAAACCTTGAATTGTGTCCAGTCCATCCTGACACCCCAGTTCAGCCTTTCTAATATTTTTGGTTATTAGTTCATTTGAAGTGCCCACAGGCTCTCCACCTGAGTCACTGTTTGGATTGCTCTGTGACCTTCAATGCCACCTGGAAGCTGAAAATAACATTTGCAGAGTCCTAATCGGAGTCAAGTTTTCATGAAACATTCATGGAATTTTCTTAGAAACAGTACAGAAGCAATTTGCCATTATCACAGTCTGAAATTAGCTTTCAACTTTTAAGTCTAACCCATGTTTCTCAGTTTCAGTGACTTTCAGATGTATGGACCAACTGGGGGAATTCTTGGAGTTTAAGTCCACACATCTGAAAGTCACTGAGATTGAAAAACATTGGTATAGACACTACCCTGAGATTTCTTGAAGTTTCCCATCAAATTATATCCAGGCTCAACCCTATTTAGCTTCTGAAACTAGAGATCAACCAGATGCTTCCCTCAAAGGTAAACAACCTTCCTCTGTACAGGTGCTATATTTAACATTTTGGGAGTGAGAGAGGCTGAGAGCTGCACACATTCTATCAGAACTATCAATTTTCAGTAATCATTGTCAGATGAAGTACAAAAACATATAATTTAGATGTTGCTGCCCACTCTGGTTTAGGTATGGATATTTTTAGTATTAAGAGCATGCTGTGGACTAAAACCAACATTACCAAACATAAGAGAAATCATATATGAATTTATGTCCAGTATTAATCTGACTAGATTGTACAGCACCAGATTATTGCTTAATCTTGCCAAATTATAAGATCCTACTCTAAAGAATTTTTAAAGCTATCAAAGGGAAACATTTCAACAATGCGCTAAATATCATAGTACCATACTGAGATTTTGACCTTTTGTTTCTATCAAATAGTTGTCAATAGAAAAACTTAATGCAAGTGTCAACTGTAACCCTTTCGGTGTCATTTGGATTTAAAAGGGAGAAGCTGATAGAATAGGAAAAAGAACAGTGAGAAGAAGAGAATGTAACTTAATGGATAAAACTGGAGGAAAGTATAGCCTAATGACTGAAGGTAAACATGTATATTATTAATGTTAAAAAGGATCTCAGGGTACAAGATTGGTGGTACTGTAGGCATTTGATTTAGAAAGGCTTAATAAAAATTCCTTTCTTAATACTACTAGGGATAAGTGTGGATCATTATACATGTTATATAGCCAGAATAGCATCTCCAATGAAAAAGAAGCAACTCAGCTTTGACAAGCTCAGAAAAAACTCCAAATTTTGCAAACACTCTTGAGGAAAATAAAATTTAAAAGAGAAAGAAAAACACCCAGTAAGATGGAGGCATCTGTGGAAAAAAATGAACTAATTTAAGAAGGACAGGATAGATGTATGCTCCAGTTCTTTGTAATGCAGTTCCCATTTATTATGAATTTGAAGATTATCCCAAAATTGAGCACTTGGCACTCACTTTGGAATTATAAGAATGATTGCTTGCGTGATAATGATATAGGTAGTCGTTAATCATAATGCAACTTGCTCATTAGAGTTGTAAGTCGCAATGGTTGTAAAGTGGATCACCACTTGACCGGATCCATTTTTATGAACAGCATTAAGTTGACTCTATTATTTGCTATGTTCTGTTTTTGTTGAAAAGTGTAAGTAACTTACAGTTTTCAGTCTTAATTTGTGATCATATGACTGCAGGATGCTGCAAACAGCCATAAATGTGGGTCAGTCCCTAACACTTGAAATGCAGTCACATGACCATGTGGAGTGGGTAGCTGTCAGAGCTTTGGAACTACCGTATTTTTTGCTCCATAAGACACACTTTTTTGTCTCCCAAAAGTGGCTGGAAATGTCTGTGTCTTATGGAGTGAATATTGCTGAAGCCCTGCTGGCTGTCACCCTTCAGCCATGTTTGGCCTCCATGCATCCCGTTTTGGGCCTCTGCATGCCCCATTTTTGGCCTCCAAAGCACCCTGTTTTTGGCCTCCCTGTGGTCTGTTTTCGGCCCAAAACAGGCGGTGGGGTTTGTCACCGCTGCTCCCCATCAATCCTCGCCACCTGGAACGGGCTGTAAATGGGATGCACGGAGGTGGCAATAGGCGAGGATCTGCATGATGGTGGCGACCGATGGCAGAAATTCTTGCCACCTGGAAAAACTGATTGGCGGTATTCCGGGAGGCCCATCCAACTGCCAATCAGATGCTCGTGCTAAATCAGGCTGCTATAAAGTGCTGAAGCTCACCAGGCTGTTTGCTGTTTGCTGCAAGGATGCTAGCCAGATAAATACCAGATGGATGCTGGGAAGCAGATGCAGATTTTTTTTCTTGTTTTCCTTCCCAAAAGCTAGATGTGTCTTATGTTCTGGAGCATCTAATAGTGCAAAAAATATCATAGGTTATTACTATTGTTTGGGTGGTCCCTTGTAACTTTGAATGGCTGCTAAGTGAATGGTTGTAAGTTGAGGACTACTGTACTCTTTGCAAAAGAACTGCAAAACCACCATTCTTTGACCCAAAATCTTTCAGGTAGTTACATGTATTTGCTCCATAAATAACATTTCCCTATAGAAAAATGAATAATTGGGTTTTCCAATACTATGCAGACTAGAATAGAAAATTTAATTTTTGGACAATCTGGGCGGTCAAAATTGTTTTATGGGGAATTAGAGCAAAAAAGCTTCATTTGGTGCAGCTATTATATTTTCCTACTCAGCTCCCCAACTTTGTTCAAGGTATTTACCAGCTTGATCATGCCAATTTTGTCCTTATAGGGTCCTAAACAGAGTTGCTGCTGTCAATATGCACAAGCTTCCCACTTTTCGGTATTCCTGGATATCACTAAGTGATTTCTCGCATCCTCATTTCAGTCTTTGTCCCATTATATGGTGCTTTAAGCATCTCAAAGCAGTTGCTGCTATGCTCACTCTCCTTTGCCAGGTTGCTTGTGATGTGTGCGGGAGGGCAAAGTGTGTGGGTCAAAGAGAGGCCTGCTCCCTCTCCTTGCAAGGAGACCCGGCTTTCTAACCAAAGCATCCTCAGCTATAGGATGGGAGATGACCAGGAGAGGAGGGGCAAGGGGATGGTGGATGGGCTGCTGGTGGCCGAGTGCT